TGTTAGTCTCTAAGGTGCCACAAGTACTCCTGTTCTTCTTTTTGCAGTACTTGTATGAGGTGAATTAAAAAATACTATTTCTTTTGTTTATCATTTTTACAGTGCAAATATTTGGAATAAAAAATAATATACACTGATTTCAATTACAACACAGAATACAATATATATGAAAATATAGAAAAACATCCAAAATATTTAATAAATGTCAATTGGTATTCTATTGTTTAACAGTGCGATTAAAACTGCAATTAATCATGATTAATTTTTTTGAGTTAATCACGTGAGTTAACTGCGATTAATCAACAGTCCTAAAAAAGACGAAAAACTTGTCAATCTACTGGATCACCTTATTTACACAAATGAAATACAAACAGCCTATACAACTTAGAAAGTCTCTAATCTATTTCTGCACAATTATATTTGAAACATGAGTGTTTCTTTCTGCTGCTTTTTAGTGGAGCAGACTGGAATATGACCTGCAGAATTCACCTAATAGCTATCTCCTATTCTCAAACGTTACTATGAGCATTACTCCAAATGTCACCTTACCCTGTGCCATTAGAGGCTCATAAACTGTGATAATACGCCTTTGATGGCTTGTAGATGTTCAGTTTTGGGCATTTTCAGTGGAGAGTTCCTAGCGTAGAATTCCCTCTCTCTGACAGATTGCCAGAGTTTACTTATTTTCAGTGCACTGTATGAGCCACAATTTCTTGGTCAAGCATTTGCCTGACTACAGGCAATCAGTGGATTACAGTTGGCTGGTTGGTACAGCAGGGGACGCTGTCTGTTGAGAACTGTTTAACTCAATGTGGGCACATTAAAAGAAAACATCCATGCAAACAGCACTTTATCCAAGCTGGGAAACCAAGTCATTTGGAGCATGATTTCTAAACCATTGTGTAATGACTGCTACATATTCAAGAATCATGCTGAGCAAAATACTTGGAACCAGGCTTATCTCAATGACTAAATCCGACTTTTAGATGAACGCTGCTAAGCAGCTATGAACTTTTGTACGCATGCAGCTCTCCAATTTCCTTTCACAGCATAACACAGGGTATGCCCCAAACAAATCCATCCTCCAAAACTGTTCACTATATCCACCTTAATCAAAGCAAAGTGCCACGAGAAGCAAGGATACATCCTGCTAGTACAGGTTCAAAGTAACTATGAACATTTTTTGTAAAAAAGGCAGAAAGGAAGGCTATTGCTGACACTGCTTGGGGTTTACCAATGCAGAAAACAATGTCTTCAGAACAGCTCTTCCAGGCCTTGACTGCATCCCTCTCAGCTCCAGTGTTCATCCAATTGATTCATAAACTTAATAACTTTTCACTTTTATTTTACCAGTGGAGAAAAATGTTTCAGGAAATCAACAAATACTTTTTCCAGGTCAGTCATACTGAAGGATTAAAATCTTCACTAAAATCTGGATTGAGAGGTCAACAATAGTCAACCAAGCAGCAAATCCATACAAACCAAAATCTTGATGCAAACTTGATGCAGAGTGAATGCTGCTTCTGAAGAGACAGCCTTGTGGCTGGCTCATCTGTGAGCCTTAACTCAGTGAGAACGGCCCGCCAAAAAAGCCACAGCTTTATTTGCTAGGTGGGGAACTATAAGGATGAATAGCTGCGAGAGCCATCCATCTATTCCCTCTCCCAAACAGCAGTGCTCCAGGTCTAAATTCCCACCTCAAGTATCCATCACTTAAATGTTTACACTGGCGAGCAAAAAGTTCCCAATTTGTCTTCTTTTTTTTTTAATTAGGATTTCAAATAGCAGTAATGATCTTCATGGCAGTCTCAGCAGATAAGTCTTGGTTGGGCCAGGGAATTTTATACTTTTCTGCTGTACCATTTCTAATATTTGACTACTATAGAAGTCTTTATGGTAGTGTATTTGGGCAAATATAGCATTGGCAGTATCAAAAGATATAGCCAGTGATGCTTACCTTCATGTTACATGCCAGAGCTTTTCCATCATCCCCTTTAAACATCAGCTTCATTCCCCTAAGTGACTCCATAGCTTTCACAAAAGCCGTGTACTCTTGGTACTGGACAAAAGCTTCAAATGTCTGTAGACCTCCAAAAAGGAAGTTATTTAAATTTCCTCCCACCATTTCTTCTCTATAAGGATCAAGCATAGGGATATCTATGTTCTTAATCTTTCCAAAGCTTTCGAACACCACTCTTAAAACATCTTCACTCGGCTTTTCACTATTTGAGCCCTTTAGTGCAAACCATTTACATGGCAAACCTTCAAAATAGATGCAATCAGGAATATCAGCAGTTTGCTCAGTAAGGTCTTCATTCGTAATCTCTCTTTTATTCAGGTAAGATGCCCACTCTTGTGGAGTTGGAAAGTCAGCTTGTGCCTCGGTGGCCATCACCTTCAAGTCATCTTTAAAACCATTCAGTTTTATTACCTTTCCATGCAGTTTTTCCTTAAGGGTGAGGATCAACTTTTTATTTTCTGCCTCTCCCTCAAATCGAATGAAATCCTTAGTGCTCTTTGAAACCCTAACAGTAGTGAATTGGTCTGGACAAATCATGTTCTTCAGCTTGTCCATCACTTCCCACTTAGAGAAAGATCGGGTAGATTCTGTGTGTTCTGGAAACACCACATTGATAGTCAGTTTAGCTACTGGTTTAAGATACAGATGCTGAGAAGCACAGAGCTCCATAGCTTCAGAGTTATCATACACTACAGTGATTGTCATTGTGTCCAATACCCTTTAGAAAAACAATTAAAACCATGTTAAGCTAAAAGACATGGAGTAAAAAGGGTAAAAATATCCTCTAGTGCAAAATTTAAGTGACTATCTTGGGATATAATTTCATTTAACATTCAGATTAAATTATTAAGAAAAATTATACTGTACATGTATACTAGTCTATAATTTAAATGATAATGCAAATAAATTGTGTTTGAATAAATATACCTAGTAAGATGTATCGTCAAAAGATGCTAACTCCAGATTTTCTATCCTCAAACTAATATAAAAACAAGAGTCAACATTCTACAGCAACATGCCTGTCATAGCCTCAAGAGAGATCAGTAAGTCAAGACAAAACCCCTGGAACACATTCTCCCACATCTGTGTACCAACGGCACAGGAAGGATTAAAAACAGTAACCAAACAAAAATGAAGTTAAATAGATTCCTAACACCAATATTCTTTTCCAGTTAAAAGAAAAATGCAGTCATTACTTGTACTAGGTTAGATAAATTACTAAATAATAATTTGATCTATGTATTATGGCCATGTATAAATTAATCAATCTAAGAGCAATCTGATGCAATTGCTGGATAGCCTGTTCTGAAATGGCCTTGTTTCCAATGGACAAGTTTTACCAGATTTGACTGAAATATCTTAGCAAGTACCTCAGCTAGGATTTTGCAATCTTTATTAGGGAAGTCAGGTGATCGTTCATCCATCATTCAGCAGCCTTTTCAAACATCGGAATCAGTGAGATAAGATGAGTTCTTACACTCTGTGCTAATAAATTATCCTTCACTGCTGATTCATAAATGTATAATAACTGGTTGTTAACTGTTCTTGTAACCTTTGTGGAATTCCACTGAGATGCCATCAAGGCCGGGGTTCTGACATGTTTGTACAGACTAGTTTGTCTTCAGTTCTTTCCTTATCTAACTGGATCTTCTCTTCTCACAAAGGGGAAAAAATAGGTTAATGTACTGCTGGTTAAACCAACCGCTAAATCAGCCTAAAACTTTTTTTTAATCTATAATTTATCTTAAAAATAAAACTGGAAATGCTAATTATCTCTTTACAACTATATAAACATCCTGAAGCAAGAAATGAGGAAAAGATATTGTTTGCCTAATGACTTATATCACAATGCTTGTACTAACACACAAACCTTATATTGGCTAAGAGATAATACCAGTGAAATGTATGACTGGTTAAGGACTGAGAAGAAATGTCTAAAACTTGTACCATTAGAGGTAGCTCTCAGCTCAATACACTGTAATACAATCTATTCACACAGGGAAAATTGATCTCATATTGTCTAAATGCTTGCAATTTAGCTTGTATGAATATATAAAATCATCCATGTGGATGAATCCAGAAATCAATATTAACAGCACAAAATATGTTATCCTAATTGAATTCATGAGAGTATTCCGGAGACCGGACATTTATATACAGATGGGTTTTTATAGAATATTCCTAAATTAGGAAATGTAATATTGATAGAAACTATCTATGGCAAGAAAGAAATGCTGTTAGTCAAGATCTAGATCTTAACCCAACCAAATTTACCAGATAAACCACACAATCTTAGCCAGTTGGGAAGATTAGGCTTGAAACAATGCAAAAGCACCCTTTAACAACAAAACACTGCCTGGAGTGAAGAGATTGGAGTAGAAATCATTAATACAGTGGGCTCAAGACTGGGGCCACTGTTAATAAAAAATTAACCTTGGATCTCAGAATGAGGTTAATACAAACAGGAAAGGTTGGACTGGACTCTGAGGAACGATATTTTAAGACGTCCATAAATGTAGCAAATGTGAAGAAATCATGCATCAATACCAAGGGACGTACTGGCCGCCGCTTCCAGCAGCTCCCATTGGCCTGGAGCAGCGAACCGCAGCCAGTGGGAGCCACAATCGGCCGGACCTATGGACGTGGCAGGTAAACAAACCGGCCCTGCCCGCCAGGGGGCTTTTCCTACACAAGCGGCGTCCCAAGTTTGGGAAACACTGCCTTACAACAAATGCCAGCACCTGATCACATATACAGGTCCATAGGTCTTGCTGCAATTGGAAAACATTTTTTTTCTCAGCTATTATCTTATCAGAGATACAGCTCAAACCAAGAGAAAGATATACACACAGAGGGGCTCAAGAGACTGTACAGTTTAAACAATATTCAAAACACCCGAAAGAGAGCAGAGCACTTCCATACAGCCATTATTCTTGGAATGCCTCTTTGCCTCCAGTCAGTGTGTGTGTATTTTGAAGATGATGTGGACTTCGGTGCAAGAAACAGCCTAGTGAATCAGAGTACCAACAAGAAACAGGTCTTGTGTGCTCTCTTAGAGAAGACGTTAGCATGAGGGCCTGATCTTGCAGGTAAAAAGATCAGTATTCTCATGGAGCAGCAGCTAGAACAAAGGTTGGAGCACTGCGTTGCTGCTATTGAGGTGACCAAAGCTTTGTCATGCCAAGCTGACTGTATTGGAATTCATCTCTGAAATTAAAAATATATATAGTTTTGGTACATTATACGGGTAAGGGTGAATCCCATTCTTGTTAGAAGAGCCCAGGTATTTATTGCGTAAACCACAACTACTTCAAAAAGCAAACACTGTTGATGCTGTTCACAGCTATATTGGTCCAATGTTCTTTGAGATAAACTACTATTTTTTGTCGTTTTGCTACATCTCACCTTGGCACAAAATGTAAATTTCCACAAGACTAAGGTGTGGAGTGCAGCTGGCCATCTAATCTAGAACAGTCCAGTGCATAACCATGAGCCGTTTTTCCACAAATTGCAACAATATGGTCAATAAAACCTTAGAAAAGTAAGGCCATGTCTACACTAGAATCTTCTGACAGCACAGCAATGTCAATTAGAGGTTGTTCCATGACATTTCTATACCGGCATAAAAGTGCTTTTGCAAGCACACCTTATTTTGTTCACTGAATTGCTATAAGCCAGGGGTGGCCAACCTGTGGCTCCGGGAGCTGCATGTGGCTCTTCAGAGGTTAATATGCGGCTCCTTACCTAGGCACTGGTTCCGGGGGCTGTAGCTATAGATGTTAACTTTCCAATGTGGTGGGGGGGTGCTCACTGCTCAACCCTCTGCTCTGCCCCAAGCCCTGCCCCCATTCCACCCCTTCCCCCAAGCCTTGCACGCCCTCCCTCCCTCCCCCCCCCCCAGCCTCCTGCGCACGTAAAACAGCTAATTGCGGCGGGTGGGGGGAGCAGGCGCTGATTGGTGAGAGCTGCCGGCAGATGGGGGTGGAGGCTGGTGACGTATTACTGTGTCTCTTTGGCAAAGTACATTGGTAAATTCTGGCTCCTTCTGAGCCGCAGGTTGGCCACCCCTGCTATAAGCCATACTATCAAAAGAACTTTTTTGATGGTGTAAGCTGCATTTTCACTAGAAGGGTGTACTGATAGAACTATACAAGCAAAACTTTTAAGTTTAGAATAGGCCTAATTGGCCTATTTTACTGGAAGTTGAGTTCTCAGTACCTCTGTAAATCAGGTCTAATACTATTTCTTTTAGGTAGTATAGAAAAACTATATCGCTTTTTGATAATCATCCAAATATACCAATGGACAAACAAGCCTGGCTCTTCCATCAGGGTCCTAGCCTGCACCAATACCAACTATAAAATACTGCTGCAGGAAGATAGTGTGGGCCAGAGGCTAGAGCACTACACTGAACCTCAGTTGACCTGGGTTCTACTCCTAGTTTTGCTGCAGGGTAAGTTGCTTCATCCATGGGGGATGGGGGGAATAATGATACTTACTCACCTTTGTAAAGTACTTTGATGAAAAGTGCTAAGCAAGACCTAAGTGATGTTATGTTGCCCTTTCTGACACTACACAAAATAAGGTTTTTATATATCTGGCTCCCACCTCTGAGTGGTCTAACCACTGAGCTATGGGATATTCTGATGCTTATTTGACTTAAACAGTCATTGGCACAGAGTGAAAATGAATTTGCAGTTTGGTGGTTAGGGCATCCATCTCGGAGGTGGGAGACGCAAGATCCATTTCCCCTGGCCTAGTCATGCTTTCATTATTTAACCACAGTGGAATAGCTTCAACAGGAGAACGCCCACATCAGCATATCCCATAGACCAGTGAATCAAGCATTCTTCTGAGAGGTGGGAGACCCTGTTCAAGTTCTTTCCCCCCCTCCGGTAGTGAGGAGGGAATTGAACCTCAGTCTCCCACATCCCCAGTGAGTGCTCTAACCACTAGGCACAAAGTAATAAGGTGGGTAGCAGCAGCACCACCTCCACTGAAGAGGATCTGATTCAGTAGGAGGCCTCCGAGTACACCGACTGAATCAGTGTGATTTAAGCATTTGGTCACCTATCTTCCTCTGGTTTGTGAATCACTGTGGGGTTTAGGCAGAAGACAGGAGTCTGGCTGCCTAGAGGGAAGCAGCAGAGTGGATTCCCAGAAGCAGAAACTTGGTGCCTAGGGAACTTTTACCTTGACAATTTCAGCGCTGAGTGAGTTTAGGCACCTACAGGGTTTGGCAGGAATTTTATGGGTCACGCTGGAGCCAAAACAGGGATTTAGGTGCCTATACCTGATACTTAAACACCTACGTCTCTTCGTGAATCTTAAAGGACAAGAGGAAGAAGGCAGCCCTTGAGAGGGGGAGAAGCTGCCTCACCCACAGGCTGCCCTTGCAATAAGGAGCAGAAGGATGCACAGCCTAGAAATATAAGTTCTTACATATTTCACTGTAGCAGCACAAATTGTACCTAGTGAGCTTAATTCTTGCTTTGTACAGGGCTAGATGTGTTACATGTGCTGTCTCCTTGGTTTTAGTTTGATTTATCTCTGTATTCTTAATGAGACTGTTTGAATTTCAGATTGTTGTGAAGCAAGGTCATTGTTTTGTGTCCATTCAGGAAAGAGCCTTCTGACCTCTTTTGAGAGATGATTGGGGAGAAATCAATACCTATTCTGGAGCATGCCATTGAGAAAGCTGCTAAGAAGTGCAATCCTGAAGAGGAATGGGAAAAGCCAGTCGACCACAAGGAGTGGCAAAAATAGGGTCTCAAAGATTATGACTTCAACTTTCAATGTGTTTTTTTAGTCTATACCTAAAGTGTTCCTGGTTGTTGCTAGTGCATATAGACTCCCAGCTGATGGGGTTGTTTTTAATAGTAAGTCATGTTTTTAGATATGGTTTAGATTCTATGGAGATGGGTACTACAAGAAAACTACATTTAGTAAGTGGCAGTCATGGCACAAGTCAAAATAATTCCCTCCTCCAACAGCACAAGGAGTTCATCTAAGGACTGGAGTTGCCAGGAGCATTCATTTGATGAACTGTTTTAGACAAGAGGTCTCAATGCTGACAGAGTTTCAAGAAACAGGGACAGTCCATACAAGTTGCTCTAAGAAAAGTTAGATAACTGTAAACAGTACCAGTGGCTAAAATTACTTCTGTCCACATGACTGATGAGTATTCCACTAAAGGCACTTAATGTTGGACATTATTGGATAGGAAAAAAAGGAGGGCTGTCGATTAATCACAGTTATCTCACGCGATTAACTCAAAAATTAATTCCAATTAAAAAATTAATCGTGACTAACTGCAGTTTTAATTGCACTGTTAAACAATAGAATATCAATTGAAACTAAATATTTTTGATGTTTCTCTACATTTTCATATACACCTCTACCCCGATATAATGCGACCCGATATAACACAAATTCGGATATAACACGGTAAAGCAGCGCTCCGGGGGGGCGGGGCTGCACGCTCCGGCAGACGAAAGCAAGTTCGATATAACACGGTTTCACCTAAAAACGCGGTAAGATATTTTGGCTCCCGAGGACAGCGTTATATCGGGGTAGAGGTGTATGTTATATTCTGTGTTGTAATTGAAATCAAATATTACAAATATTTGCAGTGTAAAAATGATAAACAAAAGAAACAGTATTTTTCAATTCACCTCATACAACTACTGTGGTGCAATTTGTCTTTGTCATGAAAATGCAACTTAAAAAGCTACATTTGTTGTTGTTACATAACTGCATTCCAAAAAAAAAATGTAAAACTTCAGAGGCTACAAGTCCAATCACTAAGACAAACAAGTGTGTTTACATTTACAGGAGATAATGCCGCCCTCTTCTTATTTACAATGTCACCAGAAAGTGAGAAGAGGCATTTACATGGCACTTTTGTAGCCGGCATTGCAAGGTATTTACATGCCAGATATGCTAAACGTTCGTATGCCACTTCATGCTTCAGCCACCATTCCAGAGGACATGGTTCCATGCTGATGACACTCGTTAATAAATAATGCGTTAATTAAATTTGTGACTGAACTCCTTGAGGGAAATTGTATGTCCCCTGCTCTGTTTTATCCACATTCTACCATATATTTCATGTTTAGCAGCCTCAGATGATGACCCAGCACATGTTGTTCATTTTAAGAACACTTTCACTGTAGATTTGACAAAACATAAAGAAGGTACCAATGTGAGATTTCTAAAGATAGCTACAGCACTCGGCCCAAGGTTTAAGAATCTGAAGTGCCTTCCAAAATCCGAGAGGGACAAGGTGTGGAACATGCGTTCAGAAGTCTTAAAAGAGCAGCACTGTGATGCAGAACCTACAGAACCCAAACCACCAAAAAAGAAAAATCAACCTTCTGCTGGTGGCATGTGACTCAGATAATGAAAATGAACATGCATCAGTCTGAACTGCTTCGGATTCTTATTGAGCAGAACCTGTCTTCAGCATGGACGCATGTCCTCTGGAATGGTGGTTGAAACATGAAGAGACATATGAATCTGTAGCGCATCTGGCATATAAATATCTTGTGATGCTGACTACAACAGTGCCATGAGAATGCCTGTTCTCACTTTCAGGTGACACAGTAAACAAGAAGCAGGCAGCATTATCTCCTGCAAAGGTAAACAAACTTGTTTGTCTGAGCAATTGGCTGAACAAGAAGTAGGACTGAGTAGACTTGCAGGCTCTAAAGTTTTACATTGTTTTATTTTTGAATGCAGTTTTGTGTGTATAATTCTACATTTATAAGTTCAACTTTCGTGATAAAGAGATTGCACTGCAGTACTTGTATTAGGTGAATTGAAAAATACTATTTTTACAGTGCAAATCAAAAATAAATATGAAGTGAGCACTGTACACTTTGTATTCTGTGTTGTAATTGAAATCAATATATTTGAAAATGTAGAACAAAATTTAAAAAAATTAAAATAAATGGTATTCTATTATTGTTTAACAGAGCAATTAATCGCAATTAATTTTTTTTAATCACTTGACAGCCCTAGAAAAAATAAATCCCATTAACTGGAATGGTCACAAGATAACAACAATACTTTGATCCAACAGGACACTTGTTCAAATCCAGCTCAGGTTAGCAGGGAATAGAAGTCAGACTCCTGACTGTTGGTAATATATGAAATTAATTAAATCGTCACAGTTACGAGCTATTAGACAAGTGTCACAACAAATACCATAAACGGCACCCTAGAGGCAAGCTCAGCAGAGACATCAGGGATAGAATGGGTCATGGAGACTTAAGTCCCTTCTTGTCCCATAGGTGGTCCCTCCTGGACAGGGAGATTGGTAAACAGCTTGCTCTACGTGGCCTGTGAGGAATTGTGGGTTTCACAATCCAGTGCCATCACACCAGAACATTTCACAAGCACGAAAATTCAATTCAATTAAAAAAAAGATATTAGGCAAACAAGAATAAAAGGTTACTCATAAGGATAGCTCACAGAATATAGGGACTACCTCTGCTTTCACCACTAGACACCTACCCTCATCTTTCAGTTTCTGAAGGCAAACGCATATCGAGAGATCATCACCAGAGCAGACACTGAGCTAGTGGCCAAAGGGCAGAGGAGGGAGATTATCTGCTAGAGTCAAACTACCATTGAAAGTTAAGTAGCATAGGGGATCATTTTCCAGCCATTTATGGGTCTGTTATTACTCCACCTGAAGCCATGGGCAGGATTCTCACTGAGTCAGTGGGAGCAGGATCCAGCCCTATATTCCTTGGAGTTTTTACTTTAAATCTTGTCTAAACAAGGGACATTGTTGGCCTATTTCCCACCA